AAGCATTTTGTATTGAGCCCGCTTGATATTTATATACACGGGTATGCGTGTGCGTGTCTGTGCATGTGCTCGAGTCTTTTGTGATTGGTGCTTATTATAGAAATCTCGAAAATAGATGCCTGCAAAGGCACAGAAGCATCACTTCACCAGCAGGAGCCATGAAAATCTCCCTTCATTATAGCACTAAAGGGGGCCTGGCAGGCGGCAAGGCCTAGTTGCCAAGTGAAATGTGGATCCTCCAGGGAGGAGGACACAGCAGCTCCCAAGGGCATTGTTCCTGTGCGATCTGAAGGATGCCTACTGGTTTCCCTAGAATTGTTCCATCGAAAATGCAGCCTGTGGCCAGTGAGAACAGGGCTCTAAAAATAAGTGACAGTCTGGCGTGTTCCAGCCCATGTGCAGATTTCCAGGGCAGGGAGAGTTGTGTGTGCACAAGTGTGAGTGTATGTGCGGGCACATACGCACTTGTTAGCATGGTCTGGAATCTGAAATGTCTATATTCTTCCTCCAGTGCCATGGCCTCTCCATCGACGGTTTTGTCCTCCCATCTTCAACAACCCGAGAGGTATGGTGAGAAAACCCCACTGCCAAGCCCTCTGTGGGTTTGTCTCACAGACCCTGGCCACTCATGCCTGTTCTGTATACACATAGGCCAGCTGGACTTCTGATTGTTTTACCCACTTCAACCTCAAATTGTGCAGTTTCTTTTGTGTCACCTTTTCTCTCTCCTTCCCCTCGGAAACAGCATTTCTGGGCTATCAAGCTGTTCAGATTAGCCTAAGACCCCTGAAAACTCCTCCCAAGCTGCCCCCCACACTCATCAGACCCATATGCAGACTCCTTGGGCCTCTCTTCTCCAGCCACAAGCAGTGATCTTCCCTGGCTTATTCCTCCCTTGCCCTAGCCCATGCACATTTAAAAATGCATTTTTAGTTATTTTACTTTGCCCAAGGCACCATGCTTTATGCCACTGGGAGCAATGAGAAGAGGAATAAGTGATTTCCCCCTTCCTGGAAGTTACGGTCCAGTATGCACAAAAAGGAAGGCCCAGGACAAGGCTGAGCACTCGGGCTCCTATTCTAGAGGGTTCCCATGCAGCATCAGGCCAGTGGCCTGAAGGGAGGCAACATCAGAGTTGAGCCCTGAGAGTGATGGGGGAAGCACTGATTACAGGGCTATGTCTGTCTGGTCTCTTACTGCTGGCTGCCTGCTGCTCCCTTTGGCAGATGACCCCACACGAGATCAAGTTTGCTGTCCATGTGGAGTCAGTGCTGAACCGTGTGCCCCAGCCTGAGTACCGGCAGCTGCTGGTGGAAGCCATCATGGTGCTGACGCTGCTCTCAGACACGGAGATGGACAGCATTGGGGGCATCATCCATGTGGACCAGATTGTGCAGATGGCCAATCAGCTGTTCCTGCAGGACCAGGTTGGGGTGCCCAGGCTGCCTACTTCCCCCACAGCTGAGGCAGGGAAGCCGGCTTGGCTGGCATTTATCTCTGTTGAGGCTGGAGATTCTGTGTCCAATAGGAGGACGTACACTCAAACAAAGAAAATGTCATCACAGATGGTGAAAAAAATGTCAACCATTTGCTTAGGAAATGGCCACTTGCGAAATCTAAGGACCTTTGAGTATGGAGATGTTTAGGTCAGTTGAAGGTTTACTCCACATACCACCCCCACGGCCGGAGATTTAGCTCAGTGGCACCACACCTGCTTTGCAAGCACAAGGTCCTGAGTTCGATCCCTGGTACCAGAAAAAACATTTAAAAAATAAAATAAAAAACTCCACATACCACATGGCCCTGGGTGAACCGTGTACCTTATACACAACACCAAGTCAGGCGAAGAAGCTATCCTCTGTAGAGTTAGCACTGAGCTGCAAACTAGAGTCTGTGAGAACCACAGTACAGTGCCTAGGGCAGAATGTTGCCCTATGCAGCATGGCTTCCCACTGTGGGGCCTAGTCTCAGGCCCCTGGCAGCCACTACTCGCTCACACTGACCTCACTCATGACATGCAGAATCATGAAGGGCGGGGAAGGGGACAGACTCTGCTCATTCTTTCTCTTTGTCTTTTCCTGTTGCAGGTGTCAACTGGAGCTGCAGACATCCTGGAGCATGACCAAGCCACAGGAATTTGCCACCTCTTTTACGACAGTGCTCCAAGTGGGGCTTATGGGACAATGACCTATCTAACAAAAGCAGTAGCTTCTCATTTACAAGAACTGCTGCCTAGTTCGGGCTGCCAGATGCAATAGGGCCTCACCAGTAATCATGACTGAAACCACCTTCTGAATCTGTTATGTGCTCCCAGCTTCACCGGGAACTTTCTTCCATCTTCTAAGATCCCCTGTGCTGTCATAAAATCATTTTGATACATCCCTTCAGAAACATTAGCAGAGCCATGGCAGCACTCGACCTGCAACCAATATATGTTTAAGCCGCTGATAGATAGAGCTGATGACTCTTGTGCTCCCCACCAAGGAAGGCCCTGGGATCACTTCCTAGGTTCATTTCGCTGGAACATGTCATCACAGTATCTGGTCTCATGGACTCTGAGAAGGAAATGGAAACTGGTCTCTTCTGAGCGCAGAGTGAACTGAGACTGCAGCTTAAATTGGCTCTCACAGAGTTACAGAAATAGGTTCCATGAGCTAGTGACACATTTTAAAGATCCTTCCAGCAGCAACAACTAGATAAGCAAACCTTGCCAAGGGAACATCTTAACAGGATGCAGCCTACCTGGGGACCACCATGCTTGCCAAATAGAACCATCCTGACTTTCTGTGGAATTTTGGTTGTCTTGTGCCTTGCTTGCTTTTTTAGCCTCTTGTTCTATTGGTGTGGCTGCTTTCATGTAACATAATTTTCTGTTGCCAAGATATATAAAACTAGTTAATGTTGGCTCATGGTCTTCAAGGATTTCATCCTGGCTGCCCATGAGTTAGGGGCTTGTCTCGCCTTATGAAAAATCCCACATCTTCCAGAATCTAAGAAAAAAAAGGGGGGGTGACTTTTCTGACAGCCAAGCAAACTTGTTTTGGGGCTGGAGCAAATAGGGGGTCTCCTGGAAAGGCCTAGGTCCCTCCTCCCTGGCTCTAGGGGAACTGTCACATGATCAGTATGAGTCAGTAGATGCCATGAAAATGAGTGATGTGTTCCTGCAGAAACAATGCTTCCCTCTAAAACAGAGCCAGGCTGGGAACCTCAACCTCTTTCTCAGAAGTGCTGCATCCTCGTGCTCTCAGCTCAGTTGGTTTCAGGCACTGACTGCAGAGAAGACAGGCATGACAGAGTCTGGCAAATCTTTTGCCAGTGTCCTGGTGAGTAGAGTTTCTCTTCAGGCTTTGTCTTCCTGTGGGGAAGTGGGGAGGTGGATAAATAAGAGAGAGAACAGTTTCCGTACCTTGACAGTCACCTGGTAGCCAAATGGTACACTCTCTAGTTGAAAATGATGGGTTAGATTCACAGTGACTCTGCCTCTGAAATGGAAACGAGGCTACTAGATCCATTCCTTGAACTTTTTATGAAGGAGGAGAAGGGAGGACAAGGCTGTATCTGCTTTGGAGGGGACACAGCAGGGCCCAGTGCCCCTCAGAGTCCAGGTGCAGGATGGTGGTCATTCTCAAAGCAGAGGAAAGAAGGCGGCCTCACGCTCCTGACTTCCTCCTGGTCCAGAGTCTCTCTTCAGGCCAAGTTGGATACTTGGTGCTTGCTCCTGGGAGAGGCCATGGAGTCAACAAAAGTCTAGGCGTGGCAGGCACCGCTCCTGTGGGCCTTCATGGTTTAGTTTCCATTTCTTCCAGGGGCACTGGAGGTAGATAGAAGGCAACAGCCACTGAACAGGCTGTGTGCTGCCATTTGCTTGAGGCTCCACAGGTCATACTATCCCAGGTTCCTTGTCTGTCTGTCTTTCTTTTTTCTTTCTTTCTTTCTTTCTTTCTTTCTTTCTTTCTTTCTTTCTTTTTTTGAGACAAAGTCTCACTGTGCAGTTCAGACTGACTTGAACTCACTGTGTAGCCCAGGCTGGCCTCATTACAGGTGTGCGCCACCACACCCGGCATCCTTGTCTTTTTCACAATTTGTTTTGTTTTTTGATGTCTTTAAGACATGCTTGGCATCAGTGAGAGTCAGAGTCATGTAACCCATCCAACAGACTCCCAGGTGGACCATTTCAAACACAGATAATGTAGGAAAGGTACAAGGTGTGCAGTTGCCTGTTCCTAGTCAGCTCCAGAAGAGTTAGAGCCCTCGAAACAGCCAGGTGCTAATTCAGAACCGTCACCTGCCTGCTGGTGACAGAGACGGTGACCAGCATGGCTGCTGGGTTTGGGCTCACCCAGTGAGATGCAGGCAGGAGAAGAGCCATAATAAGTGGTTCAATGAGCCTTCGAGTCACTCTTTGAAACCGCTTTAAAATGAAGTCCTGAAATAGGACTGCATTTCCACAGGCATCAAGGTGTCAGCTTCAAAGGAAGACAGGCATCTGAGGCTGGACCCCTTCAGCAAGCAGCCGAGCAGCCAAGGGGAGGAGCAGACTTTAGAGGAGGATGGGAGGGACTAGCCTGACACTAGCCTTGCCTGGGGGACTCGGTTTCTACAATGGATGCCAGTGAACCTGGCAGCCCCTGGAGCCTCATGTCTGGGCTGGCTCCTCCCCACCCCCAGGAGCCACGGGAGGGAGGGTTTTTTCTATCGCCCACACAGAGCCAAAAACCCGGCCTGACTGCTTGGGCTGGGGTTCAGAATGTTTTGTTTCAAAGGACAATCCTGTGTAGCCAGGAACTAGCATGCCTCTCAACATCTTCAGCTGAAAAGCAACTCCCTGCCCCCACTCTCCCTGGCTGCCACCCAAGATGAGTTCATCATCCCGCCACGACACTGTCACTTCCATGATCCTAGAGCAAATGCATCAACCTCTGTGTGCTTCATTTTGCCCATCTGCAAAAAAGCAAGGGCCTACTACACACTGGCACAGGACTAAACATGTATGATCTCACCTGCCTCTGCCACTTGGGGTGACCAGATGTGCCTATGGCACCCTGGGCTGGCCAAATGGGAATGGAGGCTCGCTCTGTTGTAGGCAGTGTCTTACAGGATGAAAATCTTCCAGGAGGCCTGTCACAGGGTCCACCACTCTTCGGAGGCATGGTGACGGAAGGTGGGGTAAATGGACCCTGCATTAAAAAAGGAAGAAAAAATGTCAGAAGATCAAGAGGCAAGAGAAACAGTTTGTCAGCTGACTGATGCCATTTATTTCTGGCCAAGATGACAGGAGGCTTGGCCTCCCTTGATATAAATTACAGCACAATCATCTCAGTTCTATTGACTTACACATGAGTCTGGCAAATAGCTTTTGTCTCTTCTGCTTCCTTATTGTCAAAGGGTAAAAAAGCTTCCCATCCCTCTCTTTGCACCATTATTTTTCAAGGTGACTCTTACATTTCTGAAGTCCCTGCCATCTGCTCTGTACAGCTCTGCACTTTGTAGAATGAGAGAGCATCATGTTCCCAGAATGCCTTCTGTTCTCCCAGACGTGGCCACTGATAGTTTTTTCTGTGAGAGTGAGAGGTGGCAGCAGCACTGTTACCTCTTAGAGCCCAGTGCCCTTGTCTGCCTCAGAAAGCCACTTAGGAAAAGTCAAGGCCTTGAGTTCCTGAGAGAACCCTCTGAGGAATGAGACCAGAAACTGCAAGTAATATACTGTAATACATGTTTGATGCTTTGGGAGATGGAAATTTTCCATCAGAAAACTACCAAGTGGTTTTTTTTGTTGTTTTAAAGGAACATATGTGCAATTTTGCCAAAAATACCTTCTAAAGGCCAGAATAATTGAAACCAGTGAACTCTGAAGGCATGTGATTTGTTCCCTTGCCTCACTGCAATATGTAAACTATTCTGAAAGAATGAATCTGAAAGCATTACTGGGTGCCCAAGGCATTGCTATGCGCATAAAAATGTAGACTGGCAGGCGGGCAGATGAGGACAACACCCTGCTTGTTTACAAAGACCTCTGAGAAAGGACACTCAGCAGGCTGCTGAGGTAAACATCCCTCACAATGGCTTATGAGATGTTCCCATCAAAATCCTAAACCCGGTGCAGCTTTGGCCTCTCAGCACGTGGCTCCTAGAGCCTTCCACCTCCAGCTGGTGCAGCTGTTGTGGCAGGCTTTGCAAAGGCTATGGCTTTGGGTTGTCCCCATGGAGCAAGCTACATCTGCAATGGGCACATAGCTTCCATGTCTCCTTTTCTGAAAGAGCTTTCCATATATAAACCTAGAATGGACTTGCCTAGCTCTACCCTCTGATGGTCTTAGTGTCACCCTTTGCTACTCTGTTCAAGTTCTTATTTGCAAATAACTGAAACCAACTTTGGCTAGGTTAAATAGGAAACATTTCTTACAGAAGGTTGGATAAGTCACATGCCGCCAGGTTTAGAGCTCCCTAGCCGGGATCCTGACCCCTTTCCCCAGCCAATCACTCCCCAGGGTTCCCAGGCCAGGCTTACATGCTGGGGCTTGTGCCACAGATATTCTCAATGCTGGGCACTGCCACCAGGGCTCTTCTGGAAACTGGAGATAGGGCTGCCACCTCTCACTAGCTTCCAATGCCAGTCTCAGGAAGGTGTGCTGCATCAGCTGAGGGGGACGCCTTTAGCAGAAGAGATCAGAAAAGCTGGCACCAAAGAGTCCCACTGTCTACAGCGGAGGGGTCAGCTTTACAATATGGCGACCCCCCCAGATACAAGAAGAGGACTCAGAGGCCGAGCATCCAAACTTAAGTGTCCACCCTAGCCAAGAGTGTCAGTTTTTATTCCTTTGTCCAGCAAAATTCCTACTGCCCCCAGGTATGTGTCCTGGAGGGTAACAGGGCAGAGGGAGCCTCTGTGACAGGAATAAAGAGACACAGCAGCACACCCTCAGGCACAAGGAAGTTGTCCTGGTGCCACCCAGCCCAAGGCAGGGATGTTGCATGCTCTCTTTTTGGGTGGAAGCATAGCCACTGAGCCATGGTGGCTGGAACACACTGCCATGCAGGGATAACCAACTACACTGCCTGCCAGCCCACAGCTCCCACAGAACTGTCACAAGGCAGCCCAGTGAAGCCTAGGGGAATTGCCGAGGGGCCTCACATTTTTTTTGTTACCACCAGCCCGGCCCTATTAGACTTGCCTGGAACCTGAGTGACAGCCTATCTAGGACACATTGCAAATGACTGTCACATCTTTCCTTCTAAGCCTTTAGCCAGCTGGGGGATTTAAAAATAAAGAATTGGAACCAATCCATGGTTTAAAGCCTCTTTCCTGACAGTGAGAATAACTTTCCACAGCTGTCACCAGGGCTTGCTCCCTGTGTTCTCGCAAGCATCTGAGCACTCCCCTCAGCTCTGGGGAAGCACAGCCCTCTAGGCCAGGCAGCTTCTCTGCTGCCTGGAGAACAGGCGAGCCCTCCCCCACACTTCTCTTTCCCTCATTAACCACAAGAGCTCAGGAGCTAGTGCCAGCACCCAGCTCCTAGTAGGGAGGCCTGGAGAGGGCGCTGCACCCACAGAGGGCAAGGCAGCCCACACTAAGTGGACCATTGTGACGCAGCAGAACTGGGCTCAGCAGCCTTGTGGCCTGAATCTCACCGGCAAGGCCCCAGATTTTTATGCTCTAAAGCAGGGAGCTCTCTGGTGCGGGGCTGATGACTAATGCCCAGTCCTGCAGGATGTGTGCTTTGTCCCTACCACTGCCAGCTTGGTGCTGTCAGCATAGCTGTGTGAGGCTGGGATACTGAGGTTCCACGCGCAGTAGGTGAAAGGGACATAATAAGCCAGTCACCATTGTGAGGGGTCAAATTCCAGCCCAGAGGGGAGAGAGTTCACTTAGGCCCTGGATGAGCACAGGCTTGGCAGCTAAATGCTGCTGGACAAGTGGGGCAGGGCTCTGAGCAGCAGCAAGAGCAGGAACGGAGGCTGCAGTCAGCCTGGGAACTGCCTGCTCTTGGCCTAGGAGATGCAGAGGTTCCTGGGGTCAGGCTTGGCATGAGAGGCTGGAGCAGAGCCCATGTCCTCTGCCACTCACCACCCTCCACCAGGAGTGGTCTTGTTTGCTCAGGGACACAGGGGAAAGAGGGACCATCTGGTGTGGCCTGGGCAGGGGAGCATGGTGACTCCACCAAACTCTCCCCATGCGATGGGCCACCCCCTTGCATATCAAAGACTAGTAAAACCTCATATGGAGAATGTTTGGGGCCACCAGGCAGGAGCTTCTCAAGAATGTAATCCAATTGTCAAATCTGACTGTCAAAGCCATCGAAGCCTGTGCTGGGCCAAGGGGCCAAAGGCCATCTCAGTGTCTCCCTGTGGCTCAGTCAAGGGGACCCAGAAACCAACCAGACTCTTCCTACCCCTCTCTGCTGCAGACAGGAAGGAATGAGCATAACATGTCAGAGAATGACAAGAGCAGTGGACAAGAATACAGCTAAGAAAAAGGTAAGGACAGCTTGGGTCAGGAACAGCAGCTATTCGATGAGATGACTGCAGTGGATCTCCTGAGGCAGGACTTGATCAAAGATCAGAAGGAAGTGAGGACTGAGCCATGTAACACGTAGGGGAAGAGAATCTAGGCAGCAGGAATAGTCAGTGCAAAGGGTGAGAGGCAGGCAGGAGTGCACCTAACATGTTTGTAGAGCCCCAAGGAGGTCTGCGTGGGACTGAAAGCCATCAAAGGGAGGCATGTAGACCTTGGCTTTTCTCTCAAATTACTGGGAGGTTTTGAGGAAAAAAAATGACATGATTGATTATTGCCAGAGAGATTTACTTTAACATGTTCTTGCTGGCTTGAACCACATAGTACATGCATGACTGTCCCATCGGGCAGCTTATACCACTGGTATAAGTGGTACAAACAGATGGTGGTACAAACAGATCACTTTTATTGACAAATAAAATGAATAGTCTATTTATGAACTGAATCTAGTTGCTTGAATTTGAATAATTACTGCCCAAATTACTACTCATACCAATTTTAAAATTATCACAATAATCAACAAATTCATTTCATTGAATCAAAAGAAATTTCCATTTGTGAATGTCTTTAAAACATTTTATATATAAATGCAGCTGATTTGTGGGGTGTGTGCAAAATGTCATACTACGTTTGGCTTTCTTTGCAGCCACAGCACCACTCCTTTTTTCAGATAGTCATGCATGTGCCACTAGAGCTACCCAGCAGCATGACATCTGAATTATGGCCCTGCCATGAATGTGCTAAAGGGCAGCAGGCAATGGGGCGGTACCTAGCATGTTTGGAGGGACTGTCTGTGAGGATGAATGAGTAAAGAAGGGCACAGTTGCCCGTGACAATCTAACTTCCTTCCACCCCATCTAAGAAGCCCATATCCTCCTGGAGCAGTCCCTGCTTTGCTATGTAGGAGGAGACTCTGGTAGCTAGAAAATGCCAGCAGCAGAATAACAGGAGAGCAGGAGAGGAGCGATTCCCCTTCCCTTCTTCAATCCTCTCCTCTCCATCTCAAGCCAAAAAACCCATGGGCCCCTTAAAACCTTTTCAAGCGAACACATCCATATGTGCACACTTGCACACATACGCAGATTCACAGTTGCATCCTATGTCTGCCCACAACATGTGCCTCCATGGCTGCGGCTACAGTTGCCACGCAGTAAGGCAGCAACCAGTGGCAAGCAGTCTGTCCCAAGGAGAAACCCCTTGGCTGCTTCTGCCCTCACCTGTTCTTTCAGATGTCTTCCCATATAGACCCAGTGCACATGAGGCCTCCTCTGTGACATTCCCAAGTCCCCACCTGCCCTTCATGATGGGGCCTCAGAAAGCACGAGTTATAGACTTTGCAGCTGAGGCCTTCAAAGGTTCTAAAGGCTTCGCATTCTGCAAGTTGCTCAAAGGCTGCTTCCTGTACACTTTAAATAGATATGCTGGGCTGAGTTTTAAAATTGACACATTTCTTTCAGCTGAAAAAAAACATGATTAAAAAACAGAAGAAAGAAAGAAATGCAGTGAGTCATCCACAGGAGGCAGGAGGGGGTCATGTGGGAACATTTCAGGAGGCTGGCCAGGGTGCGCCGCCAGGGGTGGAGAGAGCGGAAGCAGGAGTGGGAATAGAGGATGGTGGTAAAGCGGGGCTGGAATACGTGACTCAGTGCCATGGGGTCTTCATTC